TTCTGCCGTCTGCTATTTTCTGTTGCCGAGCGCCGACCAGAGAGTAGAGAAGCCTGGAACTTCCACTGTACGCTGTTTGGGCTGGAAGGATTAAGCGTAGTCTGTTTTCGGCGAAAATGAAATGGGACCGTCCAAACTCCAAAGTCGAAGAACTGAAGATTGAAGAAGAGACGGGCGAGTGGCGACGGTAGCGTGAGCGGGAGACCGGAGAGATTAGGAGTGACTGAGTGACTTAGGGTAAATTTCTCACCCCCTATGAATACAATTTTAACCCTAAGAAAAAAAACAGGCCCAGACCGGCCTAACAGGCCTAAAAGGCTGATTATCAGGCTGAGCCTGGCCTGATAAGATAAACAGCCATTTCACAGGCCTGAGCCTGTTCTGATAGTTAAATAGGCCAGGCCAGGCCAGGTATTTACAGGCCAGGCCACAGGCCCCTGACAGCCGCTGGCCTATTCCCACCCCTAGTTATGAGGAAAGCATCGGATCACTCTAGGATAACAAGTCTCATTGAATCACAGGAGTGCTTGAGTGGTGCTGGAGTTTCTAATAATCATAATCAGACTCCCCATGCTGCCACGCGGAAGCATAAATGAGAGGCTAATGATCGCGCTTTGTTTTAAGAGACCAGGAGTGTTTAAGTAGAAACCAAACTATAGTTTTAAAAGTGATTTTACGGTACACAAAATAATATGCAGAGGAATTTGCCTCATTTTACGGAGAAGTGCTTTTTCAAAGCACTTTTAATGGTTGCCAATCACTCCCAAAACTTGAACCTCAAGATACGCTTATGGATTTTGGTGACAGTAATTCTCTTCAAAGTGGTGTGAAAGAGTTTAGCTTGTGAGAGAAAAGGATTCTTCTAGATCAAGTAGAGAAGGTCCGGTCTTTGGGTCAAGCACAAGTCTTAGTTTCGGGGTGTTTGGGTAGCATCAAAAGTGTTTCTAAAAAGTACTTTTTCGTAAATCGAGATAAACTCTTTCACATATTTATTTCGTATACCATAAAAGCATTTTTAAAATTATGGTTTTGATTCCATCCAAACACCCCCTATATCTTTCAGGAAACGTCCCCCTTTTGAGTTTTGTGACTCTAGCTTGAAGCAAGCCAGAAAACTAGAGAGTTCCCACGCCTTCGTTTGTTTTGGGAGTCTGAATTTTGCTAGTCGACTGGGGTCTGGGGACTACGGAGTTATGCTGTTCTTGCCAGGATCAACTGTCTCTAAGAAGGAGCTATGTTATTTTTTAAGCAAGTGTACTTGGGAAGAGCATCCTATTAATGTCTTGAGTTCTGACGGAACTTATGCCAAAAAGCTCCACACATGTGGATGATACTATGGGGCCCTCTAAGTTCTTTAGTAGTCACTTAGAGGTCCATCAAGCAGTATTGCAACATTTTGTCTTTGTGTTCTCATGTTTGTTCAACCAAGTATGCAGTTGCTTCTATTCTATCTTTGTTTCTCTAAGTTCCAGTGGTTTCATGATATCTTGTCCACTACTTGTTCAAGCACTAGCCTTACTGCGTGTCTATTGGCACTTCTCTACTTTGGATTCTATGCCAAAATCTTGCTCTTTGGTGTATGTTGCCAGGGACGTTTTAAATACCCCATGAGGTACCCACACCCGAGTTTTGACTCTTAATAGCATAATTTGATAGCTACTACTCCCCACAAAGGATGCTTATGGTTACTGGGGCTCTTTGAAGCGTCACAAATGGCAGTATCTTAGCCAGTGTAAGCTGCAGCTCGTACTTTGGTTCCAGTCTTCCTAGCTTACTTTGCATCATGTGGTCGCTATTACAGGATGTATTGTTGATTCTAATGTAATGCATCCACATGTCATGGGTATGTTCCAAACTTGATAGTCATCTAGCAATAAAATTTTTTTCATATAATATTTATTGGCGATGGTAATTTATTACATGTATAAATTTTAACTTCAAAATATTACATCAATTTTTGTTCAACATCATTTAGCAGTTAATTATATATCAAAATGTTAATTTAAATTATTTAGTGATAAATAGCCTCGATTTTTATTAATTCAAATTAATTAAGTTACTTGCATATTAAATACATTTAATCACATGGTAAGAAAACCTTTTAATCCTTTTTAATTTAAACTAAATTTTACACCAATGAGATGTAAGGTAATATTTAAAAAATGGTACTACCTCCGGTCCTAATTATAATACTTTGTTTGGAGTCTATAAATGAGATCTTATAATTATGACACAATCAATTAGTATAACAATAAAAGTATAAGCAACAGGATTTTTCAACTTCATCCATAGAAATGTTTTTAGTATCCAGCAAAGAATGATTCACTATGGCGAACATTATATTGTCACAGCTCATATTTTATCATCAAAATCTACCAATTTTCTAGAGTCCCTGTCATGAATTCTAGACATCGAAATCATGTAATTTAAGTTTAATATAAGAGCTAATTAGAGACTTAATTTGGTCCTAAAAACAAATATCAATCCATTTTGTTAGCCATATTGATCTATTTTACCTCCCAAGTAATATTTATAGTGATTGCAAGAATTGTTTCGATACGCATTATTAATAAAAATATTTTAGAAAAAACAGCATCTATTTATTACAAATGAATAACTTACTTAATTTTGTTAATATTCAAAAATTAGTTTTTTAGTTCTTATATTAATGATCTAATATTAAAGAAAAAGGGACCATAATTGGTTTCTCTTTGTCCGGCCTTTCAAAGTCTCTCCATTGTCTCTCTTCATCATACTCTCTTTCTGCTAAAAACGGCCTCAACATTTCTAATATGCTCAATTTAATTTTTCTTAGAAAATTACACTCAAGTCCCACAGAAAACAATTAATTTAGAAAAAGTCCCTGAAAATCCCGAAATAATTCTGAAGTCCCTAGAGACCTGTGTGTAATTAATTATAATTGTAAAATTACTCATTTACCCCCATTAATTTTATTATAGTAATTCATTTACAGCCTTAACAGTGGCTGTTGACAACCCGAGAAGAAGTGGTTGACAACCTTAGCAGTGCTCCTGACAACTCACTCTGTGGGATGCCAGGGGCATTGCCAAGGTTGTTAACAATCTCTTCTTGGGTTGTCAACAGCCACTATTAATGTTGTAAATGAACTAGCACAAGTTTTCCCGTGCGAGCATTTCCACAATTAAATAACTAAAAACAACACACCTACAGGTTCAATAACGTAGTCCAAATTCATTTCTCATAAACCAAACATACTATCAATGTAATAATCAAACATACACGCCTGGAAGCAAGTATACAAAATAACTTACAAGGAACATAAAATAACACTTCTCAATCTCACAAATTACGAAAGATCTCCTTGTACACAACATTTGTTGTTGTGGACTTCATATTTTTTCTATCTGCATCAATTATAATCTTCAAGCCATCAATTGATTTCACTCTTGATAGTGCAACATATAGCTGGCCATGAGCAAAAACAGGTTTTGTTAGAAAAAGTCCAACACTTCTTAAAGATTGGCCTTGACTTTTGTTTATTGTCATGGCAAATGAAAGAGTGATAGGGAATTGCCTACGCTTCATACGAAATGGCCACCTACTCTCAGAGGGATTTATGTCCATCCTATGAAGTAATACCTTTTGGTTTGGATTTGAACCACTTAATATGATCGCTTCAATGACATTCTTGCCCAATTTGGATATACGCATGCGTGTACCATTACAAAGGCATGCAGATTGATCAATATTCCGTAGCAACATAATTGGTACTCCAACTTTCAAGATCAACTTGTGTGGTGGTAAACCTGAACAACTAATAGTGTTAAGGAATTCTGTTGTATACAAATTGTTGAAGCTATCAATGTCTTCATCAGATCTACATACAGTATCACAACTGAGGAACTCAAATGTTTCTCCTGGTAACAAAGAGCACATATAGTCATTCACTTGATAGACATGCTCAATGGTTGGTGCTAGTATAGCTCTATCATTGAAGTATTCATTCTTGTGTAGATTTTCAAGCAGATTGGGATAAGTCGAAGCAACAATTGCTTGTATTGGATTTGTATAACTACTAATCAAGAGCTCTTAGGGGGATATCAATCTCTGCAATTCCATCATTTGCTTCGCCTAAATGACCATTACCTACATCCAGTAATCACTGTGAAAACCTTTGTAGCCTCAAGTAACCTTCTGTTGATGTCGCTAAATTCAAGCGCATGTTTTTTGTCAATTTGAAAACTTTGCAATGTTCCCACAATGCTGATGAGTTAATGCATGCATTAACAATTGTTGCTCTTGTACCTTTAGGGATAACAGGAAGTATCTGACGGAAATCACCACCCATAACAATGCACTTCCCACCAAATGGAGCTGAACAATGCATTATATCTTTTAATGTTCTGTCAAAAGCTTCTATGCAGTAGCATTGGACCATTGGAGCTTCATCCCATATAATAAGCTTCATCTTCTCAATAAGATTAGATATAGGAGAATTTTGCTTGATAGAACACATGGAATATTCATGTACATGAATAGGAATTGCAAACCTTGAATGAGCTGTTCTTCCAGAAGGCAATAAAGTTGCTGCTATTCCACTTGAGGCAACTGTTAACACAATTTCTCCATTAGAACGTAATATTGATGTCAGAGCATTCCATAGAAATGTTTTACCAGTTCTACCATAACCATACACAAAGAAAAAACCACCTGTTTGATGTTCCAACACTGACATTACATGATTGAATATATGAAGTTGCTCTTCATTCAATGATTCTATGAGTCTCGCAGCTTCTAAACGAAGAGCATTCTGATCATAGTTTAACTCTTGTAATATAAGTTGATTTGAAACATCAAGAGGTTCAATGCATGCTAGACTTGGCATAGAGGGAAAATCAGCTAGGCTTCTCCCATTCCCTTGTAATAACTTATCAATTTCTGTCAATGCTACTTGTTCTTTCTGTTCTAGAGGGATAGAAATATCTGCATGTAAAACAGAGGACAATAAATTAATGCATATGTAATTATTTACTAAACATATATATGAATTGAGCAAATTTAATGTAGTATACGGAGAAAGTTAAATATCTAGCAAGCATTAGAGATGTACTTGAGAAGTTTGGATCATTTCGTGGAATGTATAATAAATCTTCAGATAATAATACAGCTATCTCCTTCCATACATCTTCAGGCCGACTCAAACAATAACATAACAACATACTAACAAACATTCTACGAAGATATTGACCAGGTGCCCATGTTGATGCCTCCTTTATTGCAAATATGTACTCCTTATCATCATCTAATAATCCCATGGCAAAACGTGCTCCCTAAAAGTTGGATATGGAACACCATCAACTGTTCTAATTTCATCAAAAGAACGTGGTCCTTTTACTTTTGTTAGAAGGACCCGCAAGTAGTAAAACTCTCCAAAGGTTGATGAAGCATGACAAATGCGGCCAACTGAAAATCCTCTCTTCCTTTTCTTCCATTCCCTCATAGTTCTTTTATACACATAATGATTTGGGAATTCTGCATAAGTTAGAGTCCTAGCAAAAGTATCAGTTACGTTAATCTTCATCCAAGCAAGGAATTGTGATTCACTAACTCTTGGTTTGTCAAGTATGTCAGCAACATCATTAGAATTACAATATATTACACTTTGCTGATTAGGTAGATGAAAACTTAACCTTTCCACTGACGGATACCTATGATGTATATCAAACCCAAATATTCTCCATGAAGCCTCACATGATCAGATATCTGCAATTATAGTACTATTGAATCTCATCAAATATTACAGCACCATCTTTGTCAAATATTTTGACAACTACTCTGTCATTACCTTTACTGATATACTTGAATAAATACTTAATTGCAGATGATTGATTACATTTCTCCACATTTATATGAGCTTGGAACATTTGTAGAAGCGAAGGATTATAAGGCACAACATATCGATTATCTAAAGTGATAGACTTGATTTCAACTGACCTACCATTAGCTTTGCGACGATATGTAGGATATCCTTCGTCATCAACTTTTGTATTATCATTGAATCTCTTTGGGAAGTATTTACTACATTTCTTATCCTTCATACAAGGTGATTTAGGATTGCTAGAGCCACAAGGACCATGAACCATGAATTTCCTTACCAAGTCATATAACAGTAGTGATGAATCCTTATCAGGGATTTCTGCACATATGATCTTATCAACATCTTTAGGATGTTTGAGCTTATCCCTTGTATCAAGGAATAATAGTATATGCGCATGTGGTAATCCTCTCTTCTGGAACTCAATTGTGTAAATCTCTATCAAAATAAAGATAAATATATATAAATTCATTTGGAAACAAATAGATAATGATTATTCAAAACTACCATTAATTAAACAACTATGCATGAACATATACCTGCCCTAACAGTACCAAAAATCTTTTTTGTTTTGATGGTCTTCATCAATGATTGAAGCTTCATTTTGAATACTCTGCATAAAATATCTGGCCTATCAGAAGGATGTAATCCATGTTGAGAACAAAATCTTGTAATTTCAGGCCAAGCTAGATTGCAAGTGAATGTTATGAAGATATCAGGGTATCCTACCCACCGACAAATAGACATTGCATCTTGGTAATTCATTATCATGTAACGAGCTCCTCCAGTAAAAGACGAAGGAAGTATTATACGTCTTCCTATTGATGCAGCATCTCTCTCCCCACTTGTTAATGCATCAGACAGTCCTTAGTATAGATCAACCCTTAGTTCTCTTTGGTGAGTTTTAACCCAAAGCAACCTTTGAGACTCAATCATCGTATAACCATCAACAACAAATTGTTGCAACAATCTTCTTGCATGGAGTAAGGTAGAGATTTCATTTTCCCTCACCATCAATCTAAATGTGAAATATTCCCTCATGCTAAGCTTTTTCTTCTTCTTAGTAATAGCAAGGCTCTCTTCTCTATGGTCACTGTCAACTTATATCCATCTTCCCCATACGGAAATAAGATAGGATACTGCAATGGAAGATATGCAGCATGAAGTTCGCTAATTCGTTGAATAGATCCTGAAATTTTTTCGACAAGGATATCTCTGACATTAAAACTCATATCAATGTCACCAACAATTAAAGTAGCAACTTCTAATGCAGAAGGCAAGTTAAAGGTGCGACCATCTGTGTCTCTACTACTAATCAAGCATAATTTCAATTCATTCTGTCCTTCATTCATAATCATTGATAATGCACATCTATATTGTTGAACAAAAGGATTAACAGCATCAAGAACATCTTTTATTTGGTTGACAATTTTAGGGAGAATTGTTGATTGAGTTTGATGTTTGCTGCAAAAAAATTGTAAAAACTTAGCATCATACTCATACAAATTTTATAGGACTTTTGCTCATTAAATAAATGTAAAAATAAAATGATAAACCTAACAGCTGATATTCGATTAGCTACTTCATGCTCTGTATCAAATATGTAGAGCTGTGAATAAACTGGTCTCCCACCTTTTGGAGGCAAAAGACTCCCAATGGAATGATAATTGACCCCATGCATGACAAAGGAATATGGTCCACCACTAGAATTTTTTGAATGATCAATTTTCCCTCCCAGTGACGTGAATGAGAACATATTATTGTATTGCCTTATGTTTGCTTGAAAATTCTTTGAATCAGTTGAGTCCTTGCTAAAGAATAAGTTCTGTAGCTTAGAAGGAGGTGGCCGCATAAGAGGTAATTGAACTTTTCCCTTTAGACAACACATTGAAAATGTGATATTAATCCTCTTTGTGTCCTTCTTAATCCTCTCATTATACCATAGCATTGTCGCACAATGTGAGCACTTATATATGGGGTCACCTTCATCAACATAATCTGTAAAACATTTGTGGATAGAATAAATAATTATTATTTATTATTATTAATTATTAATGATTAATATATGTAACCACATCAATAATAAGGAATGAAGTTCTAACTATTACATAGAACAGGAATATACAAATAAGTAAGTGTAACATCCATATATAATCAAACCTTCTGAAGTATGTCCATCGAAAGTGAAATCATTATTCTCATTCAATACTTGATCTCCATTCATAGCATCTCCACTGCGTCTAGAGCCTACATTAAATGACGAAACTTTTTGATGACGAAGTTGTTCACATATAAGAGACAATTAATGTTAATTAGTATTAATTATTAATTATTAATTAATTCTATTAAGAGTAATAACATTAAAAAACACTATATTAATTTATAGTTAATAGTAATCAATATTAATATGTAATATCTATGTTGTCCAATATTGAGAAAGGGATTTTAATTTACCAGTGTATTGGTGTGGCTCATTATCATCATTGGCACTTTCATCACTTTCATCTGAATTGAAGGAGAAGCTAATATCTCTATAGTCCAACTGTTTATCTGTTTTTCAAAAGAAATGGCCAAATGTTGGGAATAGGAAGGCATATTATCCATTGTCCAATTATCCAAATACAAAATAACAGTTAAAATTAATTTGAAGCATACTCCATAAAGTATAAGATTTTCAGGGAAGATGCATGATAGACTTGTGAACTTGGCTTACCAACGTCTATCATAAGATTCGACTGGGGATCTGTAGATGAATTGCCCAAGTCATAAGTGTTTTCTGCTGCTAATTGTTTGTTCAAATTAATCTTCTCCTCTTTCCAATACTATCAAGTGACTTATGATATACACTACAATTATTAGATTCTGTAAAAAAAAAAATTGACATATAAGAGGTTTATCATGAAAATAAAGAGATATTATATAAATCAAAGAAATCAAAGAATTGCTAATAATGTATTGACACAATTACTCCCTTACTTACCTGAAGGGAATTGAAAGACGACGCGCAGCGGAAATCAACTTAAAATTTAAAACTTTCAACCCCTTGCCCGGATCTACCGATCGCGTTTGAGTTAGGTAGTAAGAAGCATTACCTTCGGTGTTCGATTTCCAGGTGGCTCGGTGATTCCGCCGTTCAGATGCCTCTGCTCGCCTCCTTTGTCGTTCGAAGTCGACAACTCCGGTCGGCTTCCTCTACCGGTATCCACACGAGTAGCCCTCAATCTCGAACGACGTGCTAGCGTCTATGTCTGTCTAGGGTTTTCAAAAATCCGTCCTCTCTTCTCACTTTTGGCCGTCCCTTATCTGCTTAGTGCTTTCGCTCTCCCTCTTAAAACCCTAGCTCCTCATATCAAATATATAGGATGCTATAGGTTTAATGAATGATTTTTAATTTCGAAATTAATCCTAAATTAATTCCGAAATTAATACAATATCAAATATTGCCTAATCAGATAAGAGAATAATTAAATAAATATGGTTTATATTAAATCCGTCTCACAGATTTAATTCACCTATTTATTTAATTCAAAAATAAAGATATGACGGAATTAATTTACATAGATCTAATTTATCCTTATAAATTAAATCTAACAATTAATATCTCTTATATTTATATAATATATATATATATATACGAATATATATATACATGTCCACCCTATATTATTCATTGAATCTGGACATATCTTAGATTCAATGAATCTGGACATCATAACTCGCGTTGGGCTATTTTGTGTGCGACCCTGTAGGCCCATATGAAGTTGGCAGTGGGCCATTAACTATAATGACTCACAAGTCGTAAGCGGTCTCTAGCAAGACATCACGACTACCCAAATCATATGAGGATCGTTGAACGATGTAACCTTTCATACAACCATATCGCGTCCCTTTTGTCACACGACATTTTGGTCATGGATGAGGCATGGAGAACGTCATCCTCCTATTCATGACCGTTACTTTCTCGATCCCTGAGTAGTCTGAGTATAGAAACGGAACTACCTTTCCATTATAGTATGGCCATACATTTCTCAGACTCACTCATCGAGGGGCCCAGTAATATCTCTCTACGAATGTGAGGGACAAATTCCATCTTGACCATTCACATTCCTCCGCATGAAAAACCACTAAGCCTGAACATAGTCTTTATGATCACTCGGTCAAAAGTGACTTTTGACTAGGTCAAAGCTAAGCGTTTCTCATGTAGGAATCCATGATGATCTCAGGTCAAAGGGCACAGTGACATGGTTTGTATATGAGAGAAGCTTATGACTTAACCCATGCAGCTCTCTCATAGCGGGTCGGTCCAACACCTTGTACTCTTACATGTGCCTATGACTTTAATTTATATCTCTATATATCTTTAAAGTCATATTGGTCTTATTTCATCTCTGCTCCCACATAGATGACCGACCAGGGACATTTAGGATAAACCATGAGTTATCCAAGGATAGTCATCACAGTAAACATGCAAATAATATAATAACGTAATTAATAAATTCATAAATTAACAATGTTCAAAACATAATGATTGGCCCCTAGGGCACAATTTCCAACATTACCAACATTTGATCCTTTGCTATGATCACGATTTGACATCGCAGTAGGCAGCAGAATAATTTTTTTGCCTTTCCTTTTACTTGATGAAATATTTTCCTTTCTTCTACTAACATTAACTGCTACATTATGCGGACCTTCGTGCTCTTGTATTATCGTTGGTAGGTTCAAAGTAATACTATTATTCATGTCCATAGAATTAGTCTTACATCTTTGACAGCCTAATAAAAAAAAACACCATCCAAAAGTTAAGAAGGTATATTTGAAACCTATGAACAACAACATTTTCATTAAAAGAAATAGATTAAAGACCTGTAGTCTTTGGCTTCATTAGATACTTTCCTCCTGGTTCTTCAATGATGTTCATGTAGTTTTCGAAAGCTTTAAACCTTGCACTTTTATGCTTGAACACTTGATCAGATGAGCAATATAATGTACCTGTTCTACTTTGAGTTCCTAGTATTTTTTTTTCCTAAACACTCATTCAACTAATGGAATGACTAAAGATTGTTGAGCAGTATGTATGATTAATATTCAATGATTAAATAGCTAGTGTGCATAGAAGTAAGCTATTTTTGGAAGAACCATATCAAAACGAAGCCAACATGATATTGTTAAAAAATTATAATAAAATAGCTACTGAAAAAATGTATTTCACTAACTTCTTAGCAATATTAATCACTTCTAGTTTTGGAACTTTAACAAATGAGAGAAAATATATTGTGTCACCTACAAGCTGTTTTATATAAGACTAATAAAACTCGTATAAGGCTAGGAAAAAACCAAAACATCATATCTAAGTAGGAAGAAGACTTTTTCATCATCACAATTGTGCCTACTTAGTAACTAAACTCATAAGTAGGTATTTCCTAACCTGGTTTAGTGGCATTGGAAAACTTATCACATAGGTTTGAAGATACATTTGTGATATCTCCCAAAGCTAGAGATCTTTTTTGGTATTTAGCAGAGGATACACTATTTTCAAATATTCTAACAGCAGAGGGTTGAGTCTGATTCTCATTAAACTTCTCCATTGCTCCCTTTGATGCACTATTTTCTTCCCCTGCCCATAACATAAGCAAATTTTCTCCTCCAACAAATATTATGGTATCCATTGGTAAGACAAAACTTATTGAGCCAGCCACAGGAGAAAATTAAATGAAATGATTCATACATATATAGCCTACCTGTAACCTCCATGCTTGGCTGACTTCTTAAACCCTTAGAGATTGATTCGGTCTCTTTCATGAACCAAAGTTCAAAGTGGTAGCAGTAGAAGTGCACTGAGGTCACATGTAACTCATTCCTATTGTAAGGGATGACGGGCAAAGCATTTTGAAGCATTTCTGTTGTAGGCCAACTCTAAAATGCTTCATCTAGTACTTGCTTAAGATTCCTTTTCGAATTGGTACATTCTTTGTGCTGCAACTTTCTGGCATCATGTTAAACTCATGTATCTTTGTTTGCACGATAGTGACATCTCATGTAATTTTTTGATACATATACAGAAACCTAAGAACTTAATATCAGATGACAAGTACTGCATTTTAGACTGCATAGTGTCACGTGAACCATAGATAAGTCGCATGATCAATGACCTCTAGTTGTCATGTGAACTGTATATATCCAACGGTCTAGCATTTTTCTTTAAGCTCTAAATTAGTGTCATGGGAAATCTGGAAAAAGGCATTTGATCTCTTGTATCAAATAAGCACCATCTAAAATTTATAGCTTTTAAATTTGTCCTACGTTATATATAGAATATAACATCTTTTTAAAGCCATTCCATTGTCACCCAAATAAATGATAATGACAAGCATGTGATGATTAACTCAACTAATAGAGATAATAATGAATTTTAAAAAAATGCTTCCACTTTGCAACCATGTCTAATGTCTCCCTATTATTTTGAACCACATACATAAGACGTCAATATTCCTTTCTTTATTCTTTCTATAGTATATCACACAATTATATTTCATAATTCATATCTTATATCTAACTTAAAAATCATCTCCTTACTATAGCTGTTACATTTAGTTATATCTGTATAGTACATCTACGGTCCATTAATAATAATAATTAATAATTCAGTATGTGTTATGCATTCTGTCATGAACTTTGATAACAGAGATAATCATTTAGAACTTCATGTTCAGTCCCAAGAATATTGTGGTAGATCTAATGTGATGGCTTATGAATTCAAGTTAGAATGATACAGTTTGCTCTGGCCATAATAAAGTCTTCGTCTAAATTGACACACTTATGACTACAGTTTATAATATTATCAGTTTTTTGTACTCTTGAGTTGTAACTATAATCTTTTTATGGATTAACCACTAACATATAACTGATCACTCTTTAACATGTAATTGCAAAATAGATGCAGTTTATAATTTAATCCTAACTTAAATCAATTCTTAATGGAAATAAAGATTGAGTCAATTTAAAGAACGGAATATAATATTAAGGACATCACATATGTTGAACAAAAAAAAATGACACCACATAACTAAAGAACGCTACAACCCACATAAGTACTGCTAAGTCCAAGATGGACGTCAACTACCTAAATTGAGGACAACATATTTCAACTAATTTCAACCAAGACATTAAATCTTAAACGACAGGAATAAAAAGTTAATATGAAACCATAAACACATAACAAGGACCAATCGTGTTACAACAACTACATCTAGTGAACCTACTACTTCTTCTCCTGCTTGACCTTCACAATCCTTCCCAGGTCCTTTAAAGATGAGGGGTCATTGATATTGTTGACATGATCCACAAAAACAGAAGACTTCTTGGAAACAGTCTTCCTTTTGCCTTTTATAAGAACACCAAATCCATATGCTTGGTTACTTATTTCAGCTAACGTCAGGCTCTCAGAATTATCAGGTGCAGTAGGAGTTGAGTGCCCAAGAGGTGGACTCATCTCAGCTGTTGAACTACCTTCATCAATTTCCTCCATCCCTGACTGCATATAAGAATACATATTGTCTTCAATAAAAAAAAATATGCTGAGTCAAGTATAAAATTTTGAAGTTATTACATTGTTTAATTACAACCTGTGGTATCTTTGCAGCTTGCACTCCATCTTGCATGCACCAGCACCAAATTAATATAATTAATATATATTAAATAATTAATAAATAATTAAATAATTAAATAAATATAATTAAATTAATTTGAATTTGAATTCAATTCAAATTCAAAGTATAATTACATCTCAGTAGCTTCAAACGTGACCTTTTTTATATTACAAAATGAAGTTTACACAAATAAATCTTACCTCAGTAGACACCTCTGTAAACTGCTCCATAAGATCCTCACATAATGTATATTGCACCACACTTATGCTGGAATGAGGGTGCTTTTTATTGTATTAATTCAATTTTAACTTCAATATCATCCGCTTCCCAATTATTTCATCAAGATCATATGGAAAATCATACTCACGTTGTTCCTATAAATATAAGACATGATGGCTGATTAGTTTATTATCGCATCATATTGAAATACATATTGAAGTGATCATATATTATAATTTGTAGCCAGATTGAAGTGTCCTTATTAAACTCAATCTAAAAATGATCTATCCTTATTTCCAGATCAATCTAACCTGCTCTAGTGTTAGCTTTATTTCAGTTGCATTCTTGTTGAACAATTGCACAACTAACTTGTCCCAGAAGATTACAGAAGTTTTCCCAGATTGATCTTCCACAACATAGTGTACCTTCAATCTGACAACCATTTAACAATGAATTGAACAACAAAAAATTAATATTTAATAATTATAATTTATAATTTATAAGTAATGTTGGATTTGTACTATTGAGCATTTAACAACGAAAAAGACATGCATGGTGATAAGCATTGAAGTGAATATAGAATAAGGTTATCATTGTTTAAATTACTTAGGCTCGACGGATTGAGGTTTCTTTTTATAGTTAGAGCAGTGCAGCGAACCATTCTCCTCCTTAGGCTTGCTTGCACACTTTGAGCACCCATCATAACTCCAACCATGGCGAGTCTCTAGCTTAATGACCTTGCAGTTAATAATGAATGCCTCCTCCTGAGGTTTTAACATAAATGAGATGAACAACGTAATAGCATTACTCTAATTAATACAACTAATGTTTTAATAGCCATAATAGAGCAGAAGTGACCGACTATAGGGAATGAATAATTGCAAGGAAAAATATATAAGGCAAATCTAATGAGTTAGAATACAAACTCTTGCTTCATGTTCAATGTCAGATATATTCATCCTCCTGTTATTGCGCATCATTGCTGAAGCAGAAGGTTGAGAAGATTGAGATGGGATCTGCTGGCTTAGCACAGTCAGAGAAGGTGAGAATTTGTCTTTGGACCTACATATTTGCATAATGAAGTGAATGAGACTGTCACTGTCATATGTCAGATATGCTGGGGAACATCATACCATCCACTATACGTGTTCACATGTTGATGAAAATCATACCTTTCAATAAGTTTTCTGACCTCTGCCAGCTTTGGATTAAAATATACTCGAGTAGCACTAAATGAATTGCATAGCTGAGGACGACTTACAATAAAGATGAAAGATAATTAGGTATCAGATAACAGATAAAGGTAATTAGATAATTAGTTAATGGTTAATAGATAACATCTTCTTGAATAATAGATAATTAGGTAATAAGAGATAATAGATAATAGATATTTATGTATCTAGATATTACATATTAGATATTAGATAAAAGATAAATATAATAGATATTATATATTATATAATTTATATAATTGTATATTATATATTATATATTATATATTACATAATGAGATAATAATAAGTAATTAGAAAATTAGATAATAGACAATTAGGTAAGTAGGGACTTATTAAATAGTTATTTATATATTTATATAATAAAAATAATTAAATAATACGTAAGTGGATAATAGATAATTAGATATTAGATAATTATTATATATCTTATTATATTATTATATATAATTATATAATTATATAATATATATATATTTATATTATTTATTATATTATATTTAAATATTCTATATATATCTAATATTATATTATATATATATTATTATATTATTATATTATATATTATATATCATTATGATCTATATTATATATATATTATATATTTATATATTATATATTACATATACATAATTACATAATTACACAATATACATAATTACCTAATTACATATTACATAATTACATAATATACTATATAATTATATAATGTATATATATTGTATACAGTAACATCCCATATTGTATTAAATGCTGTCTCATTAATTATATAATTTATATAATCTAATTTACGTGATTTATATATTTACATAATTTTTTTATATATTTTATATAATAAAGATAAAGGTAGTAGATGAAGATAATACATAGAAGATCTTTGATAAAAAGTAAGAAGTACCATCATCAGTGAATCCAACCCTAGCCAAATTAATGACCACAACAACTGGGTTCTCCATGTTCTCCAAATAAGCCGTGTATGCATTTGTTGAGCATTCATCAAATAAGACACACTCCACATCAATCTCACTATATGAATAAAAACGCAAACCATAAATACATGAAAGGTAAAATAAAAGACAAATTAATGATGCATTATGAATTATGAAGTTAGTATATTACTCCTCATCAACTAAAACCATCCGCAACTTGTGCTTCGTTTCATTATCCTTTTGATACTCTTCAAGAGATCCAATTGATTGGACGAATGCCACCACATCTAAAAGGACACGACACAAATAAGAGAACATGAAGGCGTTGTCATTGAATTGCAAAAATACTAATGAAATTCATGTTACTGTTCAATAGAAAGATAAGTTTACCAATCAGATACTCCAAATGATTCCTTTCAGTACACTTAACAATCTCTGGAAGTGGAACAAAAGAGTAGGCATCATGCGGAATATTCCCACCTTGCTCCCTCATGTAAGTTTGTTGAGTGAATGTTATCTTCCATTTGTTTTCCGTCGCCCTGTACTGATTCACATTAGGAGACACCTCAAAGTTGGTAAAAAAGTAGGTATTTCCTTCCACTGGAGCATCCTTGTATAGAGGGAGCAAGTTCCTGTTTAAAACACTTGCTTGGATCCTGTTCCCCTGTATATTACATCCAACATAATATTAACAAAGTTAGAACCAAATTGTTCCTAAATGTAAGCTACAGAACCATAGTGAGTTCAATATGATTCAAATCAAGTCAGTTCTTGCTTTCAGAGGTAATATTATTTATAATTTATAAAGTAGAAAGTATAATAACAATAAATCGAAAATAAGCACCTCTTCATCAACTAATATCATAGTTATACAAAACAGCTCATTGGGGGATGATTTTTGATAAACACACCATCTTCTGAATACCCTCACAATGACTCTCCACCTATCAGTACCTTCATGGATATCTTTCAGCAAAGAAACTCTAGACATGATCACTGGTTGATCTAAAATGATAATGAAAGGAGAGAGATGGAAGATTTGAAATGAGAGAACAGATTAGAAACACAGTGATGATCAAAAACTGCGTGAACTCTACCACTTTAAATAGAGATGGACCTTTGTATATCCATTTTAGTAGGAAAAGGTTTCCCTCCAAAACGGATCTATTTAAAGAATTCAAATTTTAAATAATCAAATCAAATATTATGTGTTTCTTGACATAATGAATAAGGTTCAGAGTTAACTTAGCATTCGTATTGAAACTTGGAAAAAGGCAAATGATTGGTCCTCCCCTAATGATTAGCCAGGACTTCTAAATCAGAAATCATGTATCATAAACAAAGAAGCATAAAAGGATAGGACGAAAGAACTAATGAACGTATTGAGTGCAGGGATGAAAGCTTTGCATTGGAATAAGGTTATGAACTCAACAGAACTCTTAACACATATAAACCTGTTTAAACATCACAAGATTGATTTTCACTATTATCGAGAATGCATTGAATGAAATACTGCTCATACAATATTTGTCTTGTTTGTGCATAAAATCTGCAGCCACATGTTATTTGGCTTCTGCAAATAAGCATCCACCTACTCAACCAGTACTTTTAACTGACATCATATTACAGGATAACTTGAATAGCTAGGTTCATGTTTATAGGTGTCTGGCCTCATGTTAATCTTGATTAATGGGCAGAAGATAGATTATGTTGCTTGATTGCAAAAAAGTTATCTCCATAAAAGTGTGTAAAATTTATGATAACTGACATGGAACTGCAATGAATCAGCATCTGTACCTAACCATTTCCTGCATCCTTTTTTTTTTTTTTTTACTATCCATTACTAACCTTGATGCCTGACCTCTTTGATAAACATTAACATGACAATACTACATGATGTTGCATAGCTATAGCAAAATCGTGTCAGCAAATGAAATACATGACGCCAAAATTAGGTTGCAGATGCTAAGATTGGTTCATGCAATGAAAAAAAAAATTCACCAAACGATGAAAAAAATATTGACAACACACCATATGCATAGAAAGTACCTTTGCCTTTCACTATATGCACAGAGATCCAAGATATGAGAGTAAACCAAAGATATATATATATTTTTAATCTATTCATGCATATGCATATTCTACTTAGTGAAAGATACCTCTGTAAACTAGCATCCAAACCTAATAAAAAGTTCATTTTCTGATTATCTGATTAAATTTGATTAATTGATATGTGTAATAACCAGTCAACCATGTAAAGAAACTGACTCTAACTTTTGTTAATGTTATTAATTAGAAATTTGAGTTAGAAATATGTAATTATATTCAAAATTATATACATTATGAGGCGTGGTCATTAATGAACTTGGCACGGTGAGGCAATTCACTATAATTTTATATTTATATTTATATTTATACAATATGAGTATTCTATGGCACAAATTGACACACGGTACTTTCATTATCAATGATGCTGATAATATTACAATTGGCAAGTACCAATTAACAATGCAAGCTTTGCTAATAGAGACAGTGCAAATGAATACTAAAGCCCATCCTTCCAAGCTTTATACATGATCAACACTTCACAGTTATTACACATCTAATGAGTTAGGATACAAACTCCTCCTTCATGTTGACCAACTTTTTCAACACATTGCTCCAAGCAAGACAATTTATATATTAAAGGAAAGGGGAGATTACTTTACCATGTTAGAAGCTATACATAGCTTCATTAACAACAAAGGTATAACCTCGTACACATCCTCAAACACGCATCCCCATAAATCAGGTAACTAGTTACAAAGCAGCTTGTAGTTCGGTAGAAATAGACAAATAGATTAATTAAATGACAGCTTTTACTTGATATGAATAAGAATCTCAGCTATGATACCTTGTAAGTTGGGTTAGAGCAAGCATTGGTTCCCCAAGCAATAACAACAATGATCGAGACGCCTCCAATTGACGCAATCAAAGACCTCTAACCCTGGTGGTGAGCCAGGTTTTGTCAAGAGTGATGAAGAGTCTCGAAGGTGGTTTCACGAGACTGATTGGGCCAGCCTCTATGACCATCATATCATAATATGATTCTGGATTACTTAAATTCTAAAGCCCATATTATGTTTCTTGTTTACTAATTTATCTTTCTCACAGTGCTGCCTTCATATCAACCTTCATATGTAAATTCTCATTTTATATATCACTTCTTTAAATACCACAACCTTTTTGAAAAAAAACTGCATATTATATTATTATATTATTATATTATATATTATATAGTATATATTATATTTTATGCATTTTATATAGTATATATAATAATAGGGTATGGTACCAAAAACATACAGTTTAATTTCAAATGTTTTAGAAAATTTCATTTGACAAATACTATATAATAGAGTATCCTTACAAAGTGACACATAGAATAAAAGCATAATTGGCATGTGATTAATCGCTGTGTGTTCAAATTAGGTCATCTCGCATGTGAAAGCATTTCCAACGCACATTTTAAATAACCCATATCAGTTCGATAACACACAAAACAACAATCCCTTACATAATACACTTAAGCAACAGAGTTCTGTGCAAAAGCACAGAAATTCGTTCTACATAACACATACATACTAAAGCTAGATAGACTATCACAGACACAATAAGGGTTACAACATATCTCTTATAACATAAGGCCAACATAACGATTATGTTGTCCGAACATAAGGAAACACAGTGCTAACAGAACTTGACCATTAACTGGGCAACATACGAACTAAAAACCAAGAGCATCAATGACAGCAGCCCTTGCCCACTCAACCTCACTGAACTGAGGGTTAACAAAAACCCTTGTCTCATCATAGTAAGATGCCATAACCATGTGACCATTCCGATCGACGTCCCCTATGGCATACTGAACCACAACAAAAACAGGGCCGATACCGTCATCCACGCTTTCAAACTTAGCAAAGGCTGCCTCCACACAATCCCCATGAAAAAGAAAAATGGTCTACTTCTTTTCCCTGTGAAAGAAATGTTTCGAACTAAGTTCCACAAGAAAGGAAGTGGATGAAAGCATTATCTTTATAAATATTGATGGTTAATATAACAGTAAGTTTGTAAGAACAGATTCATCAACCTCCTGTCCTCTATGACAAACATAAGCTCCTTTGTGTAACACCCTTTCCATGGTTCCATAATCGACTTCCCATAGGACTTCAAAATACCGCATATGTCTACACACATAATGAATATTTGTTTAACTTATTGAAACCATAAGAACCTCTGTCAGGAAAGAAACACTTACCTACTAACTGAGCATTAGGATCGCAGAGCCGAGCAACAGCATTAGCAGACCTCAGTGCAAAAGAACGATCTGGAAAAGGCTCCCATGACTCCCAGATGACAGTCTCCAGGCCAAACACAAGGTGGAAGTGTTCGTGCACTCGTTCACCACCACTGCAGACTGTGAAACCAGTTATCCAATAACACTGACGCTCTCCAAGACACTAAAGCATACTCTCCTAGACCTCCATATCTTTCAGCCGGGCTAATACCCTCACCCTCTACGCATGGAAAACATGGGTACGTTGTCATGTGAAGTTTACTTATCGTCACAATAGGCTAGAATACAAAAAGCCAAAGTATGTAAGTAATTATACCTGATAGTCAAATAACATGAGGTCGATTGTCACGATTTCAATGACAGGCCTCCTCCTTCTCGCGGTGAACTTGACGACAGTCTTTGTGATGATACGGTCAAACTTCACAAAGAGGGTCCCATCACAAGGACCACGATGCAATTCGGAGAGAAGGACAGGTCTGCCACGGAGGACCTGAAAGGCAAGTGCTTCAGACATGGTTGATTTCTTCAACAAGTTATCTCGTATGAGAACAAAGAGAATGTGAAGAGAAATCGATAAGAATAGAACATATTTATAAGCAGAAACATATCATAAATGACTTGAATTTCAGGTAGGTGAATCAATGAAACAACATTTAATACGATATGGGATGTTACTATGTTTGAGCAGTTGTGGAAGCCACCAGCTATGAAACCATCATTCTCTCGGTCAAAGTCTTGTTGAATGCAGTAATCCCTTGAACTACAAATAAAGAAAAAAATCGCACCATGGACAAGTACAAATGTAGGATATCACATTAACTCAACATGCAAAGAAAAGTCACGCCATGGAAGAAGAAGAATATTTGATATTCATTAATGCACATTTCAGTCGCAAAGGATATGGGAAGTTAAGTAACAAAAAGAAAGGTCTTCCTCCCCACACATGTTACCCGACTTTGGTTGGTTTAGAAGTTCATCAATAACTGCACTTCTATGCGAGCATCAATTCTGGTTGGGAACAAAGGTCAGAGAGCATTGAAATAGAATTGCCAGCCCAAAGAATGAATATAATAAAAATAGAATTGGCATATATTTTTCTAAAACATTCATTTTGAATTTGTCACCAAGACCTCTGCTTCCGATGTTAAATTCAAACACACGCCACTACACACCTAGCACATAGCCCAACCTAAGCCGACAAAGTATCACGGCTGGCACAGAGCCACATGTATGTTTTAGAAACGTCATCCGAGCCAAATTAACCTTGTGAACAGTACACTGTGTCTATAGTCGATGCAGAGCCAATATGAGGGAACGGCTTAACTGGAAGAGATTGGATAGTTATATTGATTACATTGGGTTCAAATTAATAGAGGTAAATAGGTAATTTCACAATTACAATTAATTACACACAGGTCCCTGGGGACTTAGGAATCATTTTAGGATTTCCAGGGACTTTTTTGAAATTAATTGTCTTCTATGGGACCTAAGTGTAATTTGCCCATTTTTCTTTTTGCTAAAAGTCCAAATCAATTTAAAATCAACAATCAAACTTGACTTTGCCTGAAGAGAATTCTAAACATTATATATAGAGCTGGTAATATAGGCTCAGCCTGCGGGGCCTAGCCAGCCAGCCAGCTAGCCAGCCAAATGTG